ATGTATATATATATATATAATATATATATATATTATAGCAATATTATTAAATATCTACAATAAAGAACAAAATGATTTTGACCATTTTTGATCAATCAGTCGTCACACAACAATTTCGAATATTCAAATGTTATCCAAGCATATTGAGCGATTGCAAATGTGAATTTTATATAAGATATTTATAACTAAACAAAATGTAATGTAACATTAGCAATGATTTTATGAGAGAGAGAGAGAGAGAGAGAGAGAGAGAGAGAGAGAGAGAGATTTTGTGTGTGTGTGTGTCTGTGTGTATGAGAGCGAGAGGGAGAAAGGGAGTGAAAAACAGCACAGAAAAAAGAAAAAAGTGTAAACGAAAGAATAATATCAACACTTCATCATTTTCTTGAAAATATAAAGTTGCAAGATGTCAAAGATAAAGCAAGTCGATTCTTCCACAATGATTTGACTGAAAGGTAAAAAAATGTCTTCTATTTTATCTACAGTTTAAAAAGCTGCATTTTGTAGGAACTAAAAATACATGCCATAACATGATACAACCTTTTCTCGAGGAAGGTGCCTGGTGTTACTGGGTCGTCTCTATTGGGGCATTGCTGTGCTTCCTTGGTCTCATTGTTGCTTGTATTTGCAGCTGCCGACGTAATGAGAACAAGTAATGTATTATACATTTATAATTACTAATATACCCTAATCTTCTTTTAAAGAGTAATGTTATGTACGTTCTCGCTAATGGTAATAGAATTATATTTTACATTGGAACTAAGAATGCAGTTTATCGTATCATTTACAAGGATACGTTCAGTTGTAATTCCTTTAAATAGGAATGAATTTCTTGGCCTCGCTGGAATGGTAACTCTAAACAATTCTGACAATGATGGCTTTAATGGAATTCCAATGGCTGATGCCCTCTCTATAGCTACGCATGATATTGTTGACAATGGGAAAAGGTTCTATCATATCACTGATTTTATATTATGTTGTTTGCTAAGTATAAATGTTAATATTCTATATGTTATATAAATGTTAATAAATACTAATATATTATCACATGTTGTTTACTTTGAAATCAAGAAAAATTTGTTATAACAGGTCAACAAGTGCTAATAGAAGTCTTCCAGATATTCCAAAAGATAAAGAAAAAAAGCATGAAAATACAGATGTATTTGTATCTCAAGATATTTACGAAATCACTGAAACGATTGGTGATCATTCGGAATTGTACGCTACAGTACGGGATACAGGTATTTTCGATGAAAGGTTATCAGTAATCTACTAACATTATTTTAGCATTTATATATATATAATATTTATTTTAGTACTTCTTTATTTTAAATGAAAGATAAATTAATTTCATTGAGCGTATTTTATGCTACAAATGTTCCCATTATTTTAATATTGATATTATGTTTAATTTAACAGGGAAAGAAGAAGCATCTGAATTGGATGTGCCAGAAATTTTACATCAAAATCCATTGACTCAAGAAAGCTCAGATGATCAGTATTTAAGATTTGCATCATCTCCTAATTCAGACAATGGTATAAATATAAGAATTATTATAAAATTATTCTGCTGGTTTTTATTTTTAATATTTGTTTTATATTATTTGTGGTAATCATTTATGTTTATTCCAGTTGAACATCCATATGCTCAACTTCAAAACATTCAAAAATCTGAGGCTAGTCGATCGAGTCGGTAATAATTTCAGAGCTATAAACATAGATATATTGTTAAAATTTCTTTTTCTTGCATTAATATACACATATATATTTCTTATAAGAAAGGAAAAATTAATATCAAATATTGTAGAAATAATATTAAACAAGTCATCGATGTTGAGAAACCATCGACGTCGACGGCTCAAATTAATGGAAACCCAGTTGCACCACCAAGAACACGGCGGTCCTCATCACATAATTCGCTTCTGTCCACTGAATCCACTGGTCCGTGTGATATTCAGGCGGCTAATGCCATATCTGGTGGAGTACAAGCTAATCAAGATTTACCTTATATGACACCGCCATTGTTGATGTTGCTTTCACAACCATTGCAATCTCAGTCGAACAGTCCGCAACAACATTTTAGCGGAGATTCTCAAGATTCTAGTAAATATTTTGTTTTTTTATAGATCGATTCTTAATACTGTTTTCTAGATTTACATTAACCGAAATCAAAATATATATATTTTTCCTTTTCTTTTATTTCACGTAGAAGGATACACAAGCATCAGCGTAAGAGAGCCTCTAGCTAATATAATCGCACAAACAAAAACAATTTGTCAACAGAGTCAATCTATCCGACCATTCACGGATCCCCATTACGCGACTGTGTCGGATGATTCTGGTATATACGTACACGTATACATACACGGATTGTTATAACGATAGCAACCAGCTTCTAGGCAACGTACACAACGCGTATTCTTTCTTGTGCCTTTCTTATCTTGTTTTATTATTGATAAGTTTTATTTTATTTTATAGATGAAATGTATGCTGCAATCGATGAACAAGATAAGGTATACACTAGTGGTAGCGAAACATACGCACAAATACAACCGACGATAACAGAGTTTCAACGTGTACAAAATGAGCAAACGTTATTCACTCGAGTTCCATCTCGTTCAGATGAAACATTCCCTGTGCCACAACCTCCAAGTGTCGATAGTTTACGGCATGTTGCACATGCTCATTCAAGGCAAGGTAATTGATAAATATCAATGACTTATTTTATTACAATATTTTATTATCGTTTCTACAATTGGAAATTAGAATAAAATTTTTATACAAAATCTTGTATTGTTTCCTCTATCTATAGCTTCCTCTTCAAGTGCAAATAGCTCCATCATAAATCCTGGATCCCCGAAGCCAGAGAAACGTCAGGCTAACTCTCCGTTACCACTTCCACCGGAAGGAACCGCGGAAGTATACGCATCAATTGAGAAAAGGGCAAAGAACGAGGATCGACTTAAATTAGCATTATCTAATGGAAAATCTCTAGAAGATATGTACGCGAAAGTAATGAAAAAGAAAAAAGACGTGGAAGAACAACAAAATGATACACATTCGATTTCTCAGGGAAATTTGCATTCTGAATTGTTCGACGTTAATTCTGTTCAGAAGCCATGCCTTATTGAAAGTAATAATAAGGTTTTATTGTGTAGTCATGATTCCATGGAGATACAGAAGGAGGAACCCGATATTCTTAATGATAATAATCTTCATCAAAGTGCGGAAGAATCAATAAAATCATATTGTTCGACGTTTAGGAGTAGCAACGATACGGATCCAGTACATTTTCAACTTGATCATGGCTATGAAACCATGGAGAGTGATTTTCTTAAGAAACATTCAATGGTTAGAGAATCCTGTGACCCGAACTATCAGGTGTTATGCCCTCAACAGTGTGTCACTCTGGAAATTGTGTCTGATAGCTCTGTCTCGATTTCTCAACGGAATAATGCAGTAGAATTACTAGTAACGTCACCTGCTTCTTCTTCCTCCTCTTCTTTTCCTTTTTCTTTATCTTCTCCTCCCCCTTCTACGGCTTCTTTTCCTTCTTCCTCTTCCGCTCCTCTTGAATCTACATCATCGTCATCATCATCATCATCATCACCATCATCATCATCATCATCATCATCGTCGTCGTCATCGCCATCAGCATCATCATCATCATCATCATCATCATCATCATCATCATCATCACCATCATCATCATCGGGTCTGACACCGGCACCGGTATCTGCATCATCATTAGCACCGGCATCGACATCGACATTGACATCGGCGTCAGCATCGATGCCGACGCCGACGCCGACGCCGACGCCGACGCCGACGCCGACGCCGACGCCGACGCCGACGCCAACATCGACAGCGACACCGACACCGACACCGACACCGACATCGACACCGGCAACGGCAACGGCAACGGCAACGGCATCGGCATCGGCATCGGCATCGGCATCGGCATCGGCATCGGCATCGGCATCGGCATCGGCATCGGCATCAGCCCCGCCACCGGCACCGGTATCATCATCATCATCAACATCTATTTTTTCCTCTTCCCTCCCGTCTTATTCCGTACCGTTTAAGCATCGTCAAATTAGTAACGCTAGTAGTGAAGATCCGGGATATGAAAAAGTGAGATTAAAGAAGAGACCTGAAATAGATCTAGACACAGATTCAGAACCAAATTATGAAAGTATGCCACATGATTCAGGAGAACCTAATTATGCGTCAGTTTGTCGACCTGTAGATAGTGACACTGATCCTAACTATGAATCTGTTAATCACGGTGATCCCAATTATGAAACCGTGAAATATATGAGTGTTAATTGTTCTGAAGAACCACCGTACGAACTAATGAATACATATAAAACCGAACATAATACAAATGGATATGAGAAAATAAAAAAACATATATTATTTAATGTTGATTATGAACAGATACATCAGAATCATTCTACTGACTCGATTAATGGGGATACCGATGATGAACAATATGTGCAAGTCTAGTTGGATATTTTCATTCGTTTTCTATTTGTTATTCTCTTTTTATCCACTTAATTTTCCTGCCTTCTTTATACTCTGTTTTGTATTCTATATTGATATGTAGTAGGTCTGAAATGAAAAATTGATTTTACTAAATATGTCCCCCTTGGACTTCAAGTAATTACCTGCACAGAAAAAAGAAAGAACATGAGAGTTTCTTGAACTTCGCAATATCATTATGTTGCATAAATAGTTCATGATGTAATTCATAAATAAAAAAATATTTTTCACTTTTTTTCAATTAAATGTAACTAATGTATGTTTTTATTTTCGGAAAAAATGTTTACTGTGTAAATAATGAGTTTTGCTTCTTTTGCTAGCATTATTCCATTGCCTTTTAATATACAGTAACATACATTTATGTGTACGGTTATTTTTTTGTTTTTGTCTTCTGTTATTCCTTTTCTTCTTATTATCAAGCAACGTCCGAATAATTTGTAAACTATGAATGTATTTTGTATATAATTTTATGCGTCGTTTCAAATCCACTGGTTTGTTCAAAATAGTGATAATGTGTCACTTAAAACTCGTAATTAGTAATGTTGATGATAAATAGTTATTTATGTATTATACGCGTGTATATTTTTGAGCGTGAGACGATTTTATTTACGACGCTAATCTAAAAGAGAGAAACATTTTCCCCAATTACACACATTTTAAATACGATTTATATTCTTTTATATGTCTTTTGTCACAAAATCAAATGTTTATCGGTAGAATAAAAGAAAATAAAAAAAGAAAGGCAAGCGGGATTTCGTTTGTAAACCTGTTAGGAGATTTAATTAATTTAGGGATTTTGACATCAAATTTTGAGGACAAGAGGTAAAGGGTTGGGTACGTGCTACACGTCAAGCATTAGTTTCTTTTTATCTAAAATAGGTCTTAGATCTCCTTATAGAAATTCAGGTCAGATATCAGTACGTGTCATCGACTATTGAATATTCGACGACGGCTACTACCATAAAGAAAATGGTTGCTTTTACTACGTCTGTATAGACAAATTTCTATACATAACGCTAAAAGTTTTTCATTAATATCTCGGAGACTACTAGGTACCGAAACTAATATTTTATATTTAGTATTTATCCACCCTCCTCTGCATCTCATAAAAATTTAATGTTGATCAGAAATGTGTGCGATTTGTTGTAATATGTTATAAAGGATCAAATGTTTAACAACTTAATCGTCTGGCAATATTTTCAATTGACTTTAGTTTTCGCGATATTTGAGAAATTCCTTTAGTATTGTTACATTCAATTCAGCCTTATGTATGTATACATATATCTCGCATTATTTCGGAAATTAAAGCTAACCGGTAATATTGTCAGCGGAATAAGTTGTTCATAATTTGATTTTTTATAACATATTTGAAAATCATTGAAATCGGTAAGGGGGCAACTAAACGAAAACTTCACCTGTTCAGCTATTAGGGCGATGAGTTTATAGACACCAAAGATAAGCTGCGGTTTAAATAGTATCTATGAAATTAGGATCCAGAGTGTAAAATTTGCTTTTAAATATAAATGTTTTAAAGTGTAAAATATCTTTACTATTTATTAAGTGCTATTGGTAAAAAGAACATTCTTTCTTTGCAATTTTTATGTATTTACATATACTGTTGAAAGGTATAATCATTTGCGTTTGTAGTAAGTTAAATATTATCGAGAAATCGTATCTTTTAACGAAGATATAACCATTTAAAAAAGAATTGTATTTTTCCATATGTTTTACGCAAATTCTCCTGGTTTTAATAAAGTCGATTGTATTTTAAGACTTCAATTTTTAAGAATTTAGTCATGCAAAGTACGATGATTTAACGATTAATGGACAACGACCATAATATACTTACGCGAGTTGATTACATAGATAGTCGTAAAAATTTTATAGCTTATGTAAAATTTTTCGAATTGGATTTTATCCAGGTTCTCAATGCATTTACTCCACTGTGCGTCAGTTATTATATATACAGCAAAAAATTGTTCAAAATATTGTTTACAACATATTTAAAAATTATCAAAATCCACAAAGAATCTATATAGCGTTTTAAGTTCACCGGAAAGGCGAACGGACTTATTTCCTACAATGAGAATATATTGAATTTTATAAAACCACGTATGTATATTCATCGCACCAAGAAATAAGATGCATTTACTTACAGTCACAGAAAGAAGTATCCATACATCGTAATACGTTTGGTTTAAACAATAATAACTTTTATTGCAGAAAGCTACTTAGCTATGAAAGGCACATAAGCAGTTAGAAAATTAACTCACAAGGAAGGTGCAAGTCCTTCGGATCACCGATTTAGTTGAAACTTTGCAGGTTTGTAGATTTCGTCACGCAGTTCAAGAAAATATATCGTTATAACCGCAACTACTAAATAGTTTTTGAGATATTTACCATTAAAATTTTATTACTTCCTTAATTACAGATTTATTTCCAATAGTTTTCAAGTAGGGTCGTGGTTTAACGGCGACAGTCCAGAATTCTTATGCTGGAGGACAGAGGGGTTCTATTCCCGTCAATAGTTGGTATTTTTTTCAATCTATTTTTTATTTTGTACTCATTTTTCGCCTATGAAAACATTGTAAATAAACAATTGTGAATAAAATTTCTTAATAAAAAAATGTATTTTTTGCCCTTTCTTATGCTAGTATATATTTATTACAAAATAATAAGAATATTATGTAAGAAAAACAGTTTTCTATAGCAATCTTATTTACTGTAGAAAGAACATGAAAATATGAATAATTATTAACAACAAATTAACTAGCATCAAATTATGTACAAACATTGTACAACAATGTTACCTATAATTCCAACTTTGCTGCGCAGCTATAAATGTTCATGAATTAATTACAGAAACTTGGAAATTTATTCATTTTCTACTACCGAATTGATTTATTCAGATGTATTAGGAGCACATAACCAGAAGAGGTATCTAGGTCGAACAAAAATTTTACCGCCTGCGATCAGCGTCATCTGTGATTTTGGACCATATGCTCGGAAAAGTAATAGGAATATAGAATAGGCGAAGAGGTCGTCGAAGAGCTCGTCACGTGACAGACAGGGACAGAGAGGAGATAGAAAAGGATAGAAGGGCTCCGAATGTGAAAAGTTAATAAATTACTCAATTTCTGTAATTAATTAATGAATTTTTATAATTAAATTGCAAAGCTGGAACTTTAGGCAACATTCTCATCTGTGTTCTCGTTGCGGAACTCGAGCTTCGAGTCTAAAATCATAGATGGCTCTGATGTTAGCTTACGAACTCTGGTTATGTGCTCCTAATATATTTTAATAAATCAAATCGATAGTAGAAAATTCACTAATTACTCAATATCTGCGATTAATTTATAAACTTTTATAATTGCATCGTAAAGGCAGATCCTTCAAGAACTTTTCAATATATTTTTCGATATAAATTTGTCCCTAATTAATTAATTATTAATGATTATTCTACGCAGTGTTTGAATTGTTGTTGAAGACGCCATTGGTTTTTCATGAATTACTATCTTCTGCGTAATCAATTTCTGAACTTCATGCACGCATTATATAAACGACACTCTGGGGCGTCTTTATACGTCTATCACTTTTGTTCACATTTTGCTTCTAGTTTCGTTTAGTATTAATTATTTTCACAGAAGATCGTGATGGTCGTCGTTACGAAATCATAGATGCCAATAACAATAATTAATAATTAACAATTTAGAGTTAAATTCTTTATGAAAATTATATAAGAATGTTGTCTAAAGTTCCAGCTTTGCAATGAAAATATAAAAGTTGATAAATTAATTATAGAAACTTGGAGATTTATTAATTTTTCACTGCTGAAGCCCTTCTATCCTTTTCTAGCCCCTTTCTGTCCTTGTCTGTCACGCGACGAGCTCTTCGACGACCTCCTCGCCTATTCTATATTCTTATTACTTTTCTGAGGTTTGGGTCCAAAATCATAGATGGCGCTGATCGCAGGCGGTAAAATTTTTGTTCGAACTAGATACCTCTTCTGGTTATGTGCTCCTAATACATCTGAATAAATCAATTCGGCAGTAGAAAATGAATAAATTTCCAAGTTTCTGTAATTAATTCATGAACATTTATAGCTGCGCAGCAAAGTTGGAATTATAGGTAACATTGTTGTACAATGTTTGTACATAATTTGATGCTAGTTAATTTGTTGTTAATAATTATTCATATTTTCGTGTTCTTTCTACAGTAAATAAGATTGCTATAGAAAACTGTTTTTCTTACATAATATTCTTATTATTTTGTAATAAATATATACTAGCATAAGAAAGGGTAAAAAATACATTTTTTTATTAAGAAATTTTATTCACAATTGTTTATTTACAATGTTTTCATAGGCGAAAAATGAGTACAAAATAAAAAATAGATTGAAAAAAATACCAACTATTGACGGGAATAGAACCCCTCTGTCCTCCAGCATAAGAATTCTGGACTGTCGCCGTTAAACCACGACCCTACTTCAAAACTATTGGAAATAAATCTGTAATTAAGGAAGTAATAAAATTTTAATGGTAAATATCTCAAAAACTATTTAGTAGTTGCGGTTATAACGATATATTTTCTTGAACTGCGTGACGAAATCTACAAACCTGCAAAGTTTCAACTAAATCGGTGACCCGAAGGACTTGCACTCTACTTGTCAGCTTTCAGATAGTATGAATTTTATTTTGACTTAAATAAAAATATAACAGACAAATCGCAAATACCAAACGAAGTAAATTTTAAGACTTCTCTTACAGTGCCAGGCACTGTAGAAATATCTATAGGAACTTGGAAATTATAAAAGTAGCAGGAATAATGGGACACATGGACTTGATTGGGCAAATAAAGCCAATGTTAAATGGAGGTAAAAGGTACGTTTTATCTATTGATGATTCATTCGAGAGTAATTATTGGTCTTACTATTATAGGAAAAGGGCCAGACAGCTGAGGAAATAAAAATATAGGTAACATTAAAAGAAAATCAATTTGTCAAGAAGTTGAAAAATACTTATGTGCTCAGACAATGGAGGTGAGTTTATGGGACAAGACCTCCAGGTTTGGTTACATCAAAAGAAAATAAAACATGATTTGATTCCAGCCAGGATACTCGCAGTGCAATGGGGTTGCTGAGAGGAAGAACAAATACAACATAGAGATGACAAGGGCACTTGTCATGGATTCAGATTTGCCAATGTATTTTTGGGCAGAGATAGTGAGTACGGCAGTCAATATAAAAAAAAGAACACAATTAAATGTCCATTAAAGAACTCCTTATAAGGTTTAGTATAAGATAAAGCTAAACATAGGGTATATAAAAAGATTTTGCAGCATTACTTATGCATTAAATAAAGAGGGACTAGTACACAAATTTTAACTAAACAGTTGCAAAGGAATATTTTAAAAAATTGCACCAAATGATACATACAGAATATACTTACCGGAAAAGGAGAAGATGTAAAATGAACGTGATATGAAATTCAATGAAATTCAACTATTGAAGAATAAGAGCGAGAAAAATTTAAGAAAAATGATGAATTGGAAATTGTTGGATTTAGGAATTCACAACAGGCAGAAAAGTGTTGGAATAAATACCTTACTGATGTGTAATTTTGCAAAGTGGAAAATCATAGATTTCTATTCTGTGGAGTACACTTAGATGACATGGTTATAATAGTAAGCAATCAAGAATATGAAAGAAAAACCATGAAGGTAATAGAACAAAATATAAATATTGAAATTATCAGGGGAAGCTAGAACAGGTTTGGAAATGTGAATGGAACAGAACAATGGAAAAATCCATTTGCATTTAAGAAACTATATAAAAAAATTGTTGGAGTTCTATGGAATGAGGGAATGTAATGCAGTGTCAACCCCCAATGGATGTAAATGTCAATATGGATAACCATGGGAACAGCAGAAGATGCAAGACAAACTAATATCAAGAATTATTAGGGAAACTTATGTATTTGAATAGAATGCAGTGGAATGCTTATCACAGTTTATCCATGATCCAAAAATGACGAATATGAATGGATTGAAGAAGATATTGAGATATTTGAAGGGTATAATAGAGCACTACTTTGAATTTGGGATAGGAACAGAAACCTAAGAAATGAAATTCGAAAATGATTAAAGATGAAAAATAAATAATAAAGTTAAATAAATTATTAAAAGTGAGTAATAAATAAATTAGCTTACTTAATTAATTAAATAAATTATTGAAAGTGAAAAATAAAAAACTAATTTAAATAAATAACTGGAAGTGAATAGTCAATAAATAAAATAAATAAATTATTATAAGTGAAAAATAAATGAATACGTCAATTTAGGTGGCTTAAGTTACGATGTACACGTTACGACGGCCGAGGAGCAACTGACGTGATTTGTGACCGTCAAGTCCCTATATGAGGGTAACCTTACCATGGTCAAACGGAAATTCCTGAGCTCAACCGATTTTCCACAGATCTTGAACCCTTTATAATTGTTATTATATAGTTTATTGTCGATATATGCTTCATATAATTTGTAATAGCAATAGGTACAGTAATTTACATATGTACAATTATTTTTTCATATAAAAATGTAATTTACTGCCCTGTAACGATATTTTTTAACATATATGTGTTTAAACCAACTTTTTAAAATTAAAACAGTGAACAGTAGCTAAAATTAATATTTACTAAAGGACTCCTCTATAACCATACCCATAATCCATCCTAAAATAAGCTAAAATTCCCGCTTTTAACATATTTTACGAATTTACATAACATATATGTACATAATAATGTTTACACAACATATTATATATCTAAGAATGCTTCCACACATTGTTAATCGTATTTATAGAATTTTATGAAAATATGTTCAATAAAGGTGGTCACAATGCTCATGTACCAAATTTTGTAACTAATATGTAATATATATTACTATATATTATATTTTTGATATTAATTTTATAATTAATTTTATTAATTTATAACGTTTTTATAATGGAAATTCTTTAATTTATCATTTTCGTAACAGAAATATATTTATATTTGCTTCATTGATATTAATAAATATAAGAGGTATCGTTTAATATTCTACATCGATAGTTTAGCACATGGCTATTTCAAAGATGCAGTATTTTCCCGCGAGAAAAATGTGTAGCTTGTGCAACCTCACCGTCCAGTCAGTGTCAAAGAGAACATACCGGTAACATATGGTGAAATATTTTCACGTGTCAAAGTGAAACATTCAATATCTCCTCAAGACATTTCGTGAAGTAGTGATATCACTGATTGATGTTTTAATTGCGGCAACTAACGAAATATATATTTAAGAACAATAACGCGACGTGACGGGTATTACTTTGTAACATAGCAATTGTAGGTTAGTTTTGCAACATCGTCGTAATAGTTATGAATAGAACACAGTACAAGTTTTCGAAATTGTGACAAAAATACCAAGATCAAGAAATCTAACGGCCAACGTTAGTTCGGTGGTAATAAATCACGTGTGGAACGAAGTGAAGTTACATAGTGCCAATCGTGCAACGATATATGTGCGAAATGAAGTGATCCGAGTGCGAATCGTATCAGCACGATCGACAAATGACACAGCGTAGTTATCTACTATCGATTGTAGATTCTAGATTTCGGTTGTCCATTGGAATATCTGATCAACATTGCTCGGAATAAGCAGTTTCTTAATAGTTTTCTCAAGTCTTCTTCGATAGTGACGGTGCATATACGAAATAAAGTAACGGAAATGCAAGTGCTTGTCAAAATGCCCTACATAGTAATCTATCATCGCTTATATATGTTAGATTTCGATAGTGGATCAGAATTTCTCGATTTACTTCGTTACAATAGGCTCTTCTCTATTTAGTTCAATGGCTTTTATCTGATTTTGACTGTTTGTTTGCAAAGTATAGTGACGGGAGTGCAAGTGCCTGTGATAAGCTAGTGTGTAGTTACCTGTTCTCGCTTATCTATTCGAAATAGGGATGCTGATAAGAATTGTTCGATTTACTTCGTTAGAATAGGCTCTCCTCTAATTAGTTTGATGACTTTTCTGATTTTGACTGTTTGTTTGCGAAAAATAATGATGGAAGTGCAAGTACCTCTCAAAACATGCTGCGTAATTAGATATTATCGCTTATATTTTCGAAATTTCGGCTATAGATTTGGATTTTTCGATTGATTAGCATAGAATAGACTATCTTCTAACTAGAAAGCAGATTTTTGTTCGATTTTAACTGTTCCTTTGCGAAAAAAAAATGATGGAAGCGTAAGTGCTTTTCAAAACGTGCTACGCAGTTGGCTTTTACTTTATTCTATGCAATTATGAACGTTCACAAATTAATCACAAAAATTGAGTAATTTGTTAATTTTTCTTACATTCACAAAGGCACATATTATGTGCCTTTTATAGATAACTAGACTTCTATAATCAAAATTATTACTGTTTAAACTGAACGTGTTGCGGTGTATGGATACCTTTCTCGGTAACTATTATATATGTATTTATAATCCTAAAGTGGTTATTCGATGGTGTAGATCTCATCATTTGATAATAGATTATATTTAAACCTACCAAAACATATTTACAAATGAATTGTTTGGTAGCTATGAAAGAAATACACCTTTGTATGTGTCAAATGAATATGTATGCTGCATTTAACTATATAGCATGTGAATGAGTTATTTTTGACAAGAATGTGTGCGATAATGTATATTCCATTTAATCAGACATTTCAACTAGATCGGAATATAATGTAAAGTAATCTTAACTTAATGTTTTAATCATATTTTGCTAGAATTTAATTAAATTCATGAAAGAGCAAGTAAGAAAAAAGAGAATAACGATGTTTCTTTTTTTAAACATTATCTTTGATGAAATAACTAATATAGTAATATATTTTTCATTTAAGTTATTGCCGATACACAAATTACAGCTCGACGTTATTTGTCGCATTATTTTGATCTATCTTTGATCGTTCTTCAGATACGAGTCTATTGACTTATACGACTTTATATATCTTGTTTCTAATTGTATTAAAACCATTTAGACATATTATTGGAAAACGTTCATGTATATATTAGCAGCTATTTTTAAATTATCCAAAGCACGAGGAAGACGAATCGCGTTTAATCATACATTCACTGAAAATTAAATCGTAGGTTATGAGTGATGTATAAATTATATAAAAAAACGTATGGACATTTTCTATTATGCGAATACGGAATAGTCAATAAAACTCGACAAACAATGAGTAATTTGTTTTACGCTGATGTAAATTCAAGGCTGTTCGAATATTCTATCGCGTAACAAGTTATTTAAAAAAAAAAACGAGTATCGTCGCTTTCATCTGATCCCTGATGCAATGGAGATATAGCTAAATCGATCATCGAGGTAGAAATGCGATATTTTATCGATAAAATATTATAATCATGACATGAACAAAACAAAATAGTAAACACGATTTAAATTACGTAGCACGATGTCACACACTGTTGAAACTACTAGCTTCTTCAACATCGCTCTCGCTCATTGGACTGGTCGATGATTCTAGATGATATCTTGAATCGTTGGTCAGATCTTGATAATGTCGTTGTCGTTGTTGTTGTTGTTGTTGTTGTTGTTGTTGTTGTTGCTGTTGCTGCTGCTGCTGCTGTTGTTGATACTGATTTTGATGACGATGACGATGATGATGATGATGATGATAGTGGTGATGATGTTGAAGAAGATTTTCATTATGATGCCTCTCATCTATGCGTTCACGCAAATCGTTATGACGCATAGTTTTAACTCGTCTCTTTAGCTTTCGATGATAGAAAAGACAAACTATCAATGCTATCAATACAGTACCGATGGCATAACCCGCGGGGACAGCATAATTATTCGTCTGTACATCTGTATCACCTGAAATGTAATAAGCTTCTATCAAACATTTGTTCAATTATCCACATTCTCTTGTAACGTTTGTTTGTTTTCTACTATTTCTCTAAACGCCTGTTTATTTTATTAAGTCATTGGACATTGTAATTCACGAATAACTTAATCAAAATTGTTTTTAAAACTATTTTTCATTAAATTGATATTCACAAAATTTAATTTAAATGGAATTGCCAAGAAAAATAAAGAGAAAGTAAAAAGCTCTGGAAAAGTTAAATATAAAGACAATTGAAAGTAGTATGCGTATGAGCCTAATAGTTTGTAGTCTTTGAAAAGGGATAGATGGAAGAAATAACAGGCCTAGCAAAAAAATGTATGTATGTATTTTTGTGTATTGTGAGATAGCGATGACGCACGTGTATGTAAAACAGAGAAACAGAGAAAAAGAGAAAAAATTTACATGCTACTGTATATAAATAAATTTGCATTCATCTGTAATCATGCATTTCTTTTATGAAATTTGTCAAACATAAAGGAAACTTTAAAACGATATAAATATTTCGCGATTACTTTGGAATTTGTTTGATAAATATGAGAATGAAATTGCTGACAAAATATTTATTCGTGTGATATTCACAAAATTATATATGTTAGAACAACTAAGTATAAAAACTTATTTGCCTAATTACTGTAATAAAGGAATAGTTGTAGTGCAAGTAATTTTATATGTTGTATCTGTAATTATACACGTATAAAAATACTGTAAATGGTTGTGCGCCAGTCATCCATTCCGTTGCTATTCGTATGCGTAAGACACTATTTAATCCATATTCAGAAGGTAGTTATTATGTAATTTTTGTTGTATAAAAATTAAGCGCGATACATGTGCAATACTGTGAGTGAACTCACGTGATAGGGGAGATCATAACATGCCGGATCGTCGGAAGCTTCATGAAGGGCTCAGATGGCCACGAACACAAAGCACAGAGAGAGAAGAAGCATGGCAGAGACTCCAGCCAGTGCTGGTGACAATGGGGCTGATGCTGCACCTGCGACACCACACACAGTCATTCATCTACTCAATCTTGCCATTCACTCACCTGTACACACAGCTACGTACTACTTACCCAAAATATTATGCATTTATTACATATATATATCTGTATTTCACTTTGAGTTTTACTTAACATTTGTTCTCTATTTAAATCTTTTCAATGTCAAATATCATTGACTTACTCTCCATTGGTATACGTATATTACTGAAGTCATGTGATTTACATGATAATATTACGTATTTAACACCTTTGACAAAAATAAATTGAAAAACACATGCTTCGTGCAGGATTTACCAACTTTTGGTTATCATACATATAGGAATATTTTCATAGGTAGACAGGTAGCTAGATTCTACTAATTTCCTTATATTATAATATGTGTACAGTAAGATTACGTATCCACGGTTGACTGTAGTTTGAAAAAATTAGTCAAAAGCTAGTTATCGTGTCATATATATGATATATATATATATATATATATATATATATATATATATATATATCATATATCATATATCATATATCATATGTTATCATACATCAGCTACAACTTATATTAGAGTGTATCATTTATACATATTTTCTACATCATCATTACTACATGAACGAGAAATAGGTGAAACAGATGATCCTTCTGTGTGTGTGTGTCTATGCGTGTATATGCCTATGTGCGTGCACACGCGCGCGCGTGTGTTACTGTAAAACTAAAAGATTGATAAATCTTAGGCTTTGTCGGTAAAATAATGAGATGCTAAAGGCACGACAAAATTTTCCAAATACTTCTATTTCGGACTTTTACTAATCTATTTCGATAAATGCTAGGGTCTACCAATACAGGTTAATAAAAGTCTGAAATAAGTGACAATATTTAAGATTATGTGAACCATAACAAAAAAAAAAATTGCTAGAAAGATGGGATTGTAATTAAGCCTATTCTACAGAATGAAATGAAATCTAGCTCGAACTTAATTCTCTATTCTTTCTGTATTTTCTCCCGTGGTTCACATAATTCCACATATGCACATTCAGCACATTAAACAGAAGGAACTTTTCCAATTGGTGTTCGTAAATGCATTTATCGAAACGATTTGGTGGAAAAGTCCGAAATGCAAGTGCTAATAGTAATGGAAGAGCTTACCTCTTTCGGACTTTTACCACCTCATTATGGTAAATGCTAGGATCTGTCAATCTTCGGGCTTTTACAGTAATATATACATAAGTACGTATATAAAATACATTACTTTTTTATTAATTCATTATATTACAAGTTGTGTTTTACTTCATTATTAGTTATTACCAATGACAAATAACATGTATAGCAATATATTATGTTGTATGTATAGCGTGTATATATAAACATGTATAGTACATGTAACGTTCGCTACTATTCGCGATTTCAGCTATCTGCGGAGAAACTTGGAAACAATCCGTTGTGAATACGGTGTTCTTACTGATCTGTTTATATTGCAATTTTATTATTTGGCAATAAATGAATCGTGTGTTTATATAGTACAATAACAGATTAGATTTTAATCATGTATCAACATACCTGACATACAATGCACACACACGCGCGCGCATCTCCGTACGTATAGGGTATATAAAAATTATACGACCATTATAACTCGAAAAGTATGAGATGTAGATATTTCAGATTATTTTCAATTAAAATAAATTCTTCCCCTCTTCCAATTATCTCAATAATTAAAATCGTATCCAATTTTTACACACCCTGCACGTATGTATATACGTCTATACATATACACATTTGCACGTAAGCACGTAGGCACGCACGCACGCACGCACACATGCGCGCGCGTGTACGAGCTCATGGCATACGTATCCGTAATAGATACATATACACATACATACATATACACTTGCGTATATGCATGCATAACATATACATTTGCATTAATTAAGAGTACTGTATTCGGTACAAAGAGAATTCGCTAAAAGAACTTGTAGAGTAACAAAACAATCTAGAATCTAAGAAAGTACAAATGATAGAAAATTACATATTTAATATTGCATTTAGAAATGATGTGTGTGGGTGTGTGTGTGCACGCGCGCGCGCGTACACACAAAGAATTTACATTGCAGTGTATGTGTACAAACATTAACACGTATAGCGCATGGCGGAAGATATGCGTGTTGTCGCTCTCGCAAGGCGAAAACGTACTCGCGATAGATTCACGCAGTTAGACAAAAGAAGCAAAATAAAAGTAATAGAATCCAACCACACGTTCTCTAAGAAGTTGGCTTGGTGTTTTTCTAATGATTACGAAACTTACAGTTTTCTTCATCTGAAGTATCGGCTGGGCCACAATTAGAAATGTTATTACACCGAAGCGACTCTGCAATGCAGTATTTACTTTTACTGCAGAAAAATTGATTCTGGCAGTCGGTATTTGTGCTTACTTCAGTCCACGTGGCCCTAAATCCTTGTTGTCCAACTGCTTTGTCAGCCAATATGAAGCTAAAATAAAAGAAGGAAAGAAACAGAATAGATGCGTTCAATACTGAAAATTTCTGTCCTCTGTGAGCGTGCGCACATCTCCGATTGATATTTACAAACACAACAGAATAGAATGAGCAATCTTGAGTGCGAACAACGAACCTAAGTCGCATGTTATTATCCTCAGAAAGGTAAGTCCATTTAACGTCTGACGTTTTAACGTCTGACGTTTTAACGCCACACAATTCAATGGGTGTAGATGATGCAGAATACCACATGCGCAGCACTGCGGCTGGACAACCACGTACTAAAGAAACGACATATTGCTTTTACTTGTGTAATTCGATTTAATATTAAATTTCTGATTTCATTTTCGTTCATTGATATTATCAAACTATGGTAAAAAGATATAAATATAGATACATATATATGTGTGTATATATATATATATATACCTGATTGATCACCCTCTACTGAAAACAGTTCAAAATTTAGTAGTATCCGCTGATTCGGTCGGACTCTTATAAACCAATTGCAAGTTTTGCTAGCAAGATTTCTTGCGGGTCCATCGTATTTATTTGGAAAATTCGGACTAGTAATAATTCCGTAATTTACACTGCTTATATTCGATCCGCAATCTGCAATGTGAAAAATACAAAAACAAACAGCTCATTTTGCTTATATTTCCTAAAAGAATTTATTCAAAATTTAAATTCGATATAAATTTGATTAATAGAATACGATCGGAAAGAATAAATTTGAATTTAATATAATTTAACATACAAAATTCAAAAATTCGACTCAATATAAATTTGATCGATTCCAATCCAAGATACTAGATTGTTACGGCTACCTCCAGAAATAGGTTTTGCTACTTCAAATGTGTAGCGCGCTTTGAAACCACTATAAACCAACTCAGAGTCCGAATGCAGAATTACTCTTAAACCGAGAGCGCCGAGATTAGATTCCACTGGCCCTGGAGCAGTACTACCGCAGTATCTACCTATCAGTTTTTCTGTACTGTCTCGATACATATTGTATATCTCTAACCAGTCATCTTGGCAAACGTCTACTCTGTTAAAGAATAAAAGATTACCCATAAATATAGATATCAGTAACAACGGTAACAATAATAGCAATATGTTTCATATACACTAATAATACGCGATTTTTTAAACAACTTACCCATAATGTCCAACCGTTATATTCGTATTTTTTGTTCGAACTTTAAAATAATCAAATATTAGAGTAACTTGCTCGTTCGGCGTTGCTAAGAATAAATACGTGCAATTTGTGTCGCTTGGATAGTTACTAGGATGTCGTGGAGAATTAAAATCTCCTTTCTTGCGAGAGGAACTGAGGTATGTGAAGGTACAGCTACCATCAGGTGCTGCGGTACCTGGTATTTTATATTCCGTTTCAAAGCTGTATCTACAAATACAGATATGTTACACGTGGTTTTGATATTACCTTTTCCTACTCGTGACATACATTTTATCGAAAGAAACATTGAGAATTGTATTTTCCTCTCACCGTGCTTTAAAACCTTGCCCTTGAGATTCACCACTACTGAATACCATCACGAGCCTCGGGCCATCGCTAACTACATAGCGCGGATTGATTTCCACACCGCACAATTCGTGATCGAATTTGTCATAAGAATCTGTCGCTTCTTGTCCTTTCAAGTATAACTTTAAATATCCATCGGGACAAGATGAGCTATAGACATGACAAAAGCATGATAAGAGGAATTTAGATTGTGTCTTACAATCATACAGACAAACAAGTATAGATACACCAAATATTTTTAATTAGAACTAAAAAATGATAAAAGAAACATTTCAACAGAACAGGACAGACAATTGTACTTACTCTCCTGTTGTCTTATTCTTTGGTATCTTAAATACCACGAATTCTAATCTAACGCGCTCGAGATGTTGTGAATCTTGCATTCCATAGATGAAATACCGACACACGACTTTCGGTATATACGGATATGGATAGTTCGGACTGACAACGTCTCCAAAGGATTCCTTTCCACTCAAAATCTTTTGATCACATTCCGATCCACGAATGTGCTCACCCTTGTAAGCGGTTATGAAGTCTGAGTAGACAGAGACGAGCGTGTACACGCACAGGTATACATAAATACACATTTATGTATACGTACATATACATACACAAACATATACAGGCATGCATGTGTATGTATATATACGTATGTACATACGTAACCGAATTAAATATAAAAAGGAAAACTGTTCTATAATATGAAAATAAACTTTTTTTATGCATTCGTAATATGTATTTCGAAGACTTACCCAATTTAACAAAACTCTCGGAAAATTCAAAGATTCCCTTGAATCCACGATTTTGTGAGTTTGCTGTACGTTGAAGAGTAACAAATAGCACATATAAACTAGATTCCGACGAATATAATACCAAATTTCGTTGTTGACCACAATATGTTCCTATAACCGCTGATGTAGTGTTTAAACCATCGTACACTTTCACGTAATCTAAAGGACAACTGTAATAAATGAGAATTTAACAGTGGACAGGTAGAAAAATGAAAAGTGAAAAAAAGGAAAGAAAGAGAAAGTAATTGTGCGTTATGTTAATTAGTTAATGATTATTTATATAAAATTTGGACATACTGTTGGCCCCCAAAGAATAAGTCGAAATCTCGGAATTCAAGACGTACTCGTTGACTTGGTTTTCCGATAAATTGGTAACTACACGTAAGACCCTTAGGGTATGTTCCCGGATACGTAGGAGATAGTATATTACCATTACGTTTGTATTCCGAGTCTACCGTGAAAGAACACGGTGTGCCAGGAGCTGGTGTCCCTATTTCGTATTCAGCTGCGAAGAATATTATTAAATGTTAACAAGAGCTAGCAAAAATTAGTATAAATAAAATTTAAAATCTTTTGCTTTCCCCCCCCCCT